AGCCCCAAAAGACCATCACAAATAGTTGCAGATAGACTTTGACCGCTTTATTTGAAGAGAGAATCGTCCAAGCGGTAATATCCACAGAATTATCAGTAGCCATGTAGGAGCAGATGATGGATTCTATGCCACGAAAACCCACTCATGTGGTGAGCGAAAAAATCAGCAGATGAGCGATATTGTTATTTTTCGTAAAGTATTCAACCGAATACGTTTTTGCCAACCGTCCTGCCCCATTTTGGTCTGAGGAAAAATAATGGTCAGTTAGTCAAATGTGTGATAATAAAATATGGGATAGCTGCCAGCATTAGAATAAAAAATAATAACATCGTGCGTTCCCTAAGAATAATGGAATATAAAAAAGTGTTTCATATGTAATATTAACCGAACGGCTTTACATTGAGTGTTGCTTGGGTTTCAATAAGTTCTGTAGATGCGAAACATATTCGGCAAGTGTGCATACAGCTCTATTTCCTCTGTGCTAGCATTTTTGCATTTGAGTGATCTTGTTGAATTAGTTTGTCAAATGATTCATTACGGGTTGCATCATTTCCCTTTCAAGCAATAAAGCTGTCAAACCAACTCAACCTTCCTGATAGGGAACAGTCATTTGCCTGGTTTATGAGCTCAAGTTCATTTAGATTTGAACTGGTCATCTTTCAAATTTTATCTTCGCACAGTCCCTGGTCCATCCAGTCAACCTTACACTCGGGAAGCAGGAGACTCTGGTCTCACTCCTAGCACGAGATTTGAAGTTCGGGCCCATGAAGTGTAAAGCTGGTGTATTACCACTTTGCTAACCAGCTCACAAAAAGGTTGCATATGATTATCAAATCGCGTTTCACCTTGTGTTGTCTTAGATCGTAGACAAAACAAGACGAAACAGCTCTCTAGTGCTCTTTTTCGGTTATTACAAGCATTACCATTGCATTTAAATGCATTCAACTAGTGGATACTTAACGATCTCCCAAGGACTGAAACCCACACCGAAGACCATCAAGAGTGCCTGGTGCCTCTGGACGATCGATTGAGTTAATCCAAGCTTGATACGCTAAAAAGTGGTTTACCTGTTCATTTAAAGAGTTTTTATCGTCTTGGAAATTAGAATGCCCTATGGAATAGCACGCTACACTTTTCATTTCTGTCTATTGGGAGACGCTCCAATATGGCCTGTGCAGTTGAGGTTAACTATTCTATCATGTTTTTCTATTGATGCATGAGTATATAACTTCAATCGACGGTTTTATATTGAGAGTAATCGGAATTATCTGCTGATATTGTGTGTCATTCTGCAGTTTTGCAGACAACCAGAGAAATTCACTAACGGCATTCTTAACTGTAGAAAACAAGAGGATTACTGCAACAGGTTAGCATGTAATGTTCAGCTCACTGGTGCAAATTTGAAGCGTACACGGATATCAACGTGAACAATAATTATGTGTCCAACAAGAATGTCGAGAGCAGAAGATTTGTTTTCAACTCACAAGTTGCACAACGTTGCGGATAGTCAGGTTGACCTCAAGTGATACTGGAGATATGAGTAAATGGCATCTTTGTGTACAAGGTGGGGAGCATATACACCATTTCTATAAAAACCAACTCATCAGCACAAGCGGCTGTTAACGAGAAGTGATTTAGTGAGTTCATTCACCACAAAATGCTGATTATACCATTTACCGAGTACTCAGTTTTTATTTCACTAACACCATGATAAGTGATCCGTTGATGGAAAATGAAGATGATGACAATAATTCAAGTCAATTCAAGTGAAACTCTCTTTGTTATACCTCGAAGAGCTATTAAATACCCGACAAGTAAAAAAAATCGGAGAAGCACTTAAATCGATTACAACAACAGAGTTATCTTTGTGCTGTAAAATCATAGTACAGGTGAAATAAAGAACAGGGGATATAAATACCACGAAGGGTTTGAGTACTTTGTGTGCTTGTACTGAGAAACAGATACGGAACACCCATTGGGATAAGCCGGAATTCACACCGTAACCTGGATCAGAGAGTGGTTGGTGAGGCAAAGGATTCAATGATGTGAGCTCTGGGTGAATCCTTCACCACGTAGACAAATATCAGACTGATTTGAATACGTGACAACTATCCTTTTCCAATCCATCAGGGGCAATTTGCGGAGGGACTGGAGCATTTTTGGTAAATGAGAGTGTACACGATAGGTATTGTGAAGAGTAAGGAACTGGATAAGAGCTCTAAGCAGAAGAAGTAGGAAAAGAAAGCACTTTGTCGTCTGAAAACAATATTATTGGTGTCCTTATAGGTGAAGAATAGTGTTGAAGTACGATTCCTTCACCCCGGTTTTTGAAAAAGGATTTCTATGCAGTTGTTTTTTGAGACCATAGTACGAAAACTTTTAATTCAGTGATCGCATTTACATCAGAACGCCTTACACGGTCCTGTATCATCAAGGCACCTGCCGATTGGGAGGTCCAATGGTTGAACAACAATCAAATATAACCGCGCATCACAGAAAGAGGTAGAGATGAATTAAACTTAATAAGTTGACCTTTCACTTTTAATCCTCATGCGCTGTGCTTCATCAAAACTAGATATTCTATGTAGGTTTTGTATGCTAACCCAATTAGGCCTGTGGGCCCGAAGTTACCAGATATCTAGCTGCGTCTCCTTACTTACTATATCTGAAGCTGCCCATCTGAACAAACGTGAATGATATTTGTGAATTGTGGCGCTTAGCACAATGAGAACACACCCGATTACCATGTGATCGGTCCAGAATCCAAAGCCCAGACTGGACGGCAAATGTGCATTGCTTTAGAACTCTAATGAGAGCGAAATTCAATGTCAGTGTTTCCCTGGTATGTGGTTGACAGGATGTGAGGGGGAGTGTGCGTGAAGAATGAGTTTGAAGGATTGTCAATTCAAATCAGCATCATTTATCCAACACCATTACTCACACTTGCCTGTCAACGTAAAAAGCTATGTACACATCAGTGATGGAGAATGCAACCCGCAATACAACACACCAGTTTTCCAAAAAGGTATGTATTGGTATTCTGCACTGATGACACTACAGCGATAGTCACTCACCCGCCCTGGGTGGCATTCTTTAACATGCTTTGCATTATTCCATATGATAGATATTCGAATGCGTACCTTATCCTAAAAGTATGTTAGTTTGCAGAATTACGAGAGCGATAAAGGAAGTAATTTATGTCGGAGCGATCCCTCTCACTGTCTTATATAAAGGAAATATAAATTTATACTTGTACCTAAACTGCTAAGTCTATCGTGGTTCCGTTTCTCTCCCGTTTTTATTCTCTCCCGGACCTTCGTGCTTAACAATTTTGTTTCGAAGGGCCCCCGGGTATTTTTATGTTTATTCATAGGAACTGCATTGACAGAGACATTCACCTGAGTTGGTTTCGCACATGTCTTGGCCACTGATAATGATAGACATTTTAGTGCCGACAAAGTTGCCCAGTGGGATGTGGAAGTTCGTCTGTTGCACCCAAACATCCGCGATATAGTGGCATGGTGGTCATCAGTATACCGAAAAATGCACATCTGTTTGTGAACTCAACAAATATTCGCATACGGCACCGCGCATTGTTATCCCGTAAAACAGTTTAAATATGGTGTAATCGTGGGGAATGTGAAGCTCCTTACTCCCACTGATTTATCATGTCAACGACGAAGTAATCTACGACTTACCAATCACAATGTGTTTATTTGATTTGGTAATAGGGCAACACAAATTCTGGATTTACTAGAATATGTTGCGCATAGCCGACATGTGGATCCGATTCACCGTCGAATTTCAGGCAATGAGCTCAAAAAGGATTGAGCAGATTCGAATGGATCACTTAGTAATTCAACTATTAAATCGAACTTTTTTACAAACTTACAAAGCCAGTTACTCACCATCAAAACAGTCCAACATGTGAGGATTGTTGATACCACTGTGGATAATGCACCTGAAAACGATGTACTATACACTATGGGTGGGTGACCTCCTGTAGCACAATTGCAGATTCACACTATTCATACCTTTCCGTGTTGGACTTAGTTGTGTTTTGCGTATTCAGCAATAAGCCTAATATAAAATACTGATCCAGAATATTCTAATCACATACTACCACGCCATGATCCGGATCATTAACACTGATAGTCCTCCTATATTCATCTGAAGACTGAATCGATAGTGTACAGCTGCACTAAACTTGTACTTTAGGTAAATCACTCTATTCTTAAACCGATGATAAATTCGTCTGAACAAACCACACTAACTGGTCAAAATCGGAACTTCATTACTTAAACTGGTAACAATTAGCATAGGATGTACTGGGCAAATTTGAATAGTCTCTTCAAACGGTCTGAATGACCATTTTCAGCTAGTCAAATCGGTGCATTAAAGTAACCGATTTAATTGCGTAATTCTCCCCCTTTCCCTCACTGAACGAACATCATTACCAAGGTAACTAATAACAGCAACAAACTAGACTGGGGTTATAAATATCATAGCATTTCTAAATAGTCGCTGTTGTCCGGGGTAAGTGAACACCATTAGCTCTTTTAAAACGAACACGTGTGGACTCTCCACAACGGGATTAAATGTCTAGACGCGTGACGCGCAAAGCTAATTGGTAACATTCACACTTGTACACGGCCGTTTTTTTATTTCCTACCTGTGAAATGCCAGGGGGATTGTGTACACATAGGAATGGGTTAATCTGAAGGGAGTTGTTTCGGAGGACAATCGGGATAGATTGTGAGGCCGGGGGGAAGGGGCGGGACTTAAGTCAATCCAGGCGCACAATGTTGATGTTTCCGAACCCCACGAATAGTATCAAGTGTACATAAATTACTGGGCTGGGGGGCACAGATATACATGATGTGACAACACTGATACGAGCTTCGCGTTGGTCAAAATGCGTGGGGTTGAACCAGGCAGATAGCAATCACAGCCAGTGAACACTGTAAGCTGTTAGATTTGGTGACTAAGTTATGTACAACTTAATATACTACTTTGCCAGCGGGATACATCAGATGTTTGAAATTGTAGAGCATTGCACAAGAGATTCTGCTCATCTGGAAGCGATTGGTTTTGTGCTGACTGGATTGAACAGTAGTTGCCTTCGGCTGTGCTGAGTTGAGACCGGTAATTGATTGGTGATGTGCCTGAGTAGATGCGGGAGGATTGTCGTTTGAACAGAAGAAATTGACACGAAATCTGCAAACCAAGTTGAAACAAAACAATTTGAAAAGGATGCTTTTATTCTGCTATATTCCCTAGCACTGATTTGAGGCGAAGGCAATGAGTCACGGGAGATTTTACCCAGCTCACCCCCAACAGGTGCCAAATAAAACGGTTATTGTATCACTGCCGCAACGCCGATAACTTGCTGTTCATCAAGCTGTTTCTTCGGGATTTAACCGTTTTTGCATGCCTCAGCTTCTTGAAGAGACCGATGAGAGTTGGTAAATGTCAGTATCAAAGAGGTGGAAATGACGGTTTAATAGCTCAGATGCGCTTATATATCACTAGCTGAGATTTAACTACAATTTGTAATACTTAAAATCTACTTCTAAAAGAGAAGAGAGGCGGCCGAAATCAGTCACGTAGAAGCAGAGATCTGCAGAATTAAAGGTGTTATGTCATTGTTTTTGTTCCAATTCAGATACATACCCTTGAATCATCATATCCAGCACTTAGAATTCCTTCTTGATCCAACTCTACATAAGTTCCAATTCAGCTAGATTAGATATTGATAGTTCTTTAAAACACCTGGGTTTGGATCAAACATTTTATACCGGTCATCGAAAACAAACATGATTAGTATATATCGTAGATATCTTGAGAATGTATACAATACTTACAGAGGAAATGGAGCAAAAGCATCTTCACTATCAGCTGTGAATGGTGGTGAATGACCATGGTATTTAACAGTTCCCACACAAATGAGCATTCAAAAATCAGAAACCTTCAACGTGTTTACTGTACTTCTCATTCTTTATTGAAGGGACATACAAATGAACGCACTTACCTTTTATACAGCTAACAATGTCGTACCGTAAGAGTTCTGCACGACTGAGTTGTTTGTACCCATATCTGTTGTTGAATAGATACACAGAGCTGATAGATTTCAGAAGCTACCGGTCTTTCCTTGGGGCACAGTTGACGACATTGGGCAAGCAGGCGACTGATACCGAACAATTGAAAGCCATTCATGTCCAGCCATCGTACCAGTTCGTTCCAGTTTTCAATCTGGCCCAAGGTTTTAGACGATTCCGCTGGATCATCTGATGATTGTAGTGCTAATATATGTGGAACCGGTTGTAAAACATTCGGCGTTTGTACAGCTGTACATTGTTTTCGACATGGCAGTGTTGAAGAGGTGTGTGGTGATTTATTACGCGGAACATCCGATCGCCATTCACCCGGATGACATTGGAGAATGTGGGCAATTAATAATTCCGCAGCAATACCCCCGAAGCACCATACGTCTTGCGCTGAAAGATTCATGTCTGTGTTGTTGTATGCTATCCTCGCGCTATCCTCGTTTGGTGCTGCACAGACAGAGAATTCAGGTGTTCGTGTTTGTAAATGATGTATCAGGTGATGGAAGATATCGAACGGATGATGCACATATGACGATGAGCGGTTGCGAGATTGAGGAATGTGACCGTCTCGTTTTGCGTTTTCCGATTGATTTATGTCAGACATGAAAGCGTATTGATTGTTTAGCTGAGATTAGGGCCAAAGGATAGAGACAAATGTTAGGGGGGGGGAGGACGGATATTGTTGTGAATACTGTTAGAAATAAATGTCACCAGGTATAGGGTGGGGGAACAAAAAGCGAACACACAGGTTGGCCGGATGCGCTAACATTTAAAACATAAACTCTTCGACAGTATGAATGTCACGAACACACCTTTTTGTGACAAACAATGACTATGCACATACCAAAACATATGTACTGTGATTTTAACTTTCTTTCACGGCTTCTGTGAAACCTGTTTGCAAAGAGAAATTAGGGTTAAAACATGCCCCAACAGTGCGTTTGTTTCCCCTGCTGCGAGAACCCGATTTCTATTTTTCATACTGTAGTTAGTCTGACAATTTCATGATCATGGAATCATGCGTTTAAAATGTTGGACTTGTACCGTATTACTCCTGGCTCGGGGTTTTGTTCAGCAAGCTGATGGTTCTCGGTGTGGCTCTACATCTTCCGAGGATAAACAAATGTAATGCACTTGCCTTACTGAAATAGCAATTAAAGGCTCTTCGCTACGTGTCATACACAGTGCAAAGTATATCAGTGCCAACAGTAACCAGTTTTCTCTCAAGAAAACAATTTTAACTAGAGAAGGAATGGGAGGGTTCGTAGACGCCAGGCGAAAATACTTAATGCGGAAAGTTGTTCGTATTGTTCACACGGATACCATGCATACCAAGCTACATATGTGCTAGTTGTGCTTCAGGGCCCACCGTGGGTAGAGGCATCTGAATATATATATATATATATATATGGTGTAGTTGTGACCGATCGGTCTGTCTCACCATTTAGGGAGATTTTCGGATTGTCTAAACACATTACCGACTATGGAAGAATGTGCATAGGGTCATACCTTGCTGTTGATAAGTTTTCAAGTGAGAGACAACTGTCCTTCTGTTTGCGTTCGTTTTCACTGAGCTGTTAGTGTCCGTAATGTGTTTCTTTCAATGATTGCTCCGTCGTTGCTCACCAGTTGTGTTTGATTGGAGCCCAGCTGAACCACTTCTGTACGAAACCAGCTGACATTAGATGCGAATACTGAAATCGTATCTTGCTTCCTGAGCCAAAATTGTACGCTTTACTAGTGTGTTTCACACCTTCAGGATGCTTATCCGTCACTAGAGGACAGAGGTTTAGGCTGTTGACAGAGATGAATCATAGTTAATTTGTTCTTAAATCGATACTCGGTGCAATTTAAGCACATGATGCTAGTTACTATTCCACAATTTTTTTAAATCTATTTAGCTGACTTACACGGTGCCATAAAACAGACGACCGCGTGAGATGAGAGATGGGTCTTGCATTTGATAGAACTCAAACAAAATGTTTAGATGATGAATAATGGTCTCCTGTACTATCTAACGTGTCACAAAGGTGGTCAAAAGGTAGCGGAAGATGATTGGTAAAAGATTTCTTTGAGGAACTAGGATAAAATGAGACCTTCTCCAATACATCAAATTTGATTAATGTTCAAATTATAACTGGTCGGTTTATTGTTTCAAACTCACTATGAAACCACGTACTCGAGTTGCAATGCAGAATTTCTGGCTGGTATACTATCATTATTTGGAACTGGTTTCTATTTCCCATCTATTTTATCTTTCATGGGTCACCAGTGGCGCACTTACGGAATGGTTTGGCGCACGTTTGATCACACGACCATTTCAAACCGGCCGAGTTCATATAGATAACCTGACCGCTATTTTGCTGTTCATCTTTATTTTCGACTATCGGGACATTCGTTTTAATCCTATACTGGCTCATCACACATGCTTCTTTTTTCCAGGGTAGCGAGTTGATGCGCCACGACTTTGACCAATTTTACTTCCCGTCAACTTTTTTACTATTGTCTTTTTTTTGGCCAGTATGCTAGTTGGGTTATTATGCCGTTATGCATACCTCAAACAGAACAGATGCTGGGTGCCTGTTTTGCTAATGCACGCAGGTCACCTAGTGATGACAAGTTCACTATTCGAATCACGAACTTCAGTCTAGGTGCTAATACTTTCATCTTGGAGCGCATCAGCACACAGATGAGAAGTCACTTAAATCGTAAAATAGGGGATAAATGTACAAAGATGAGTGTAATAAGGTGGCAAGTAGTATAATTTGCTGTGCGCGCTGCAACTCGAAACGAATAAAAAGATTGAATGAAAAAAAGATCATACTTATTTTTTTGTTGATTCAATATAAAAGTGTAAAATAAAGTATAGGGACCGGGCTACAATCATAAAAAGGCTACCCGAGGAAATGCATGAAATGGGGGATCGTTTGACCTATTTGAGTATCTCAGATCATGCTTACATTTTATGCGATGGTTGGAGTATGCAATACATATGTGAACCAATCACTACTCTCGTGCAGATAATACCAAGGTTTAATAAAGAAGTGCATGATGAAGATAGAAGGGGTTCAAAATTCAACAGTTTCCGAAGACAATCTGATGATAAATATCATAAACCACTGATACTTTGAAAAATTGATATATTCACCTAAATACAGTTTACTGACTATTTTTGAAATGAGTGCATGACACATTCAAGCAACTGTTCATAGGTCTAATACCTGTTGCGATCTTATGTAGCATTCATTCAAATCTCCCATAATTAGGTCAGATTTGGGCAACCGAATAAAGCACAAAATATGCAAACCCAACTGAGCCCACCATGTCTCAACTCACTACAATGTCCAGGAAAAGGCAGGGGAATTATGATGACATGACGCTGAACAGTAATTGTTGGCTGACCCCCCATGATAGACGCTGTTTGGTTAAATTATGCTGGTTCTCGCACGGGATGCGAAAAGGATAACATCTTTGTGTCCTAATGGCAGCCATTTTCCCAGTGACTCAGCGCTGCATTTTGATATTCATACTCTCTTAGATTTTCCGGTTCTTGGCTAAAGGGATTCATGATTGCCTGCTGTCGTTATTTAACAAAAGATCACGCTCCAGCATACTACACACATATGACTTGTGATGAGAGGCTTGCTCTGAGTGACCATTTGTAAATAATGCGCATCTAATTCACGCACAACTTCCTGAGTGCGGTTCTCGGGCTACTCCTCTTTTTGAGTTCTCATAACTTCCGCTGAATAGCATTTGATAAAGGTTATTTCTGTTTTTTAATTTAGCCTATTTGCTGTCGGACAGGGGCAACGCAGGCAAAAATGTGACTGCAAAAGTCTCCCATCCCGATTCTTCTTTTGTAACAGTAATGCTATGGTCGGTAAGCGCATTTTATATGTATTAAATTTAATCCAAATAACTTTCACAAGTTATAAAAATATAGTGCAATACAATACAGACCACAGATACAGCGGAAACACGATCATAATACTCTGAACTCTCTGTAATTGCTGAATACCTGTGGGTCAGTGAGACCACTGAGAGTAACACCTATGGGACCTGTTCCGAGTCAGCTCACACCATAACTCAGACGGAGATAGAATACCTTGTCAATATTTAGTCTGTATGGAGATTGTAAAAAGTTCGGTAGCCTCGGTGGGATTCAAACCCACACATGGACGCCGTTGGATGGGCAATTTGAATGTGAAAAGATCAGTGCAATCGGTGTGGCCTTGTAGCTCAGCTGGTAGAGCATACGTGTACTAAGTGTAGGCGGCGTCTATTCGTGGGTTCGAATCCCAACGAAGCTACTGAATATTTTGTTTCACATCATTAGTGGTTAGCAAGACGAATATTTTATGCGTTGATGACCATTCCACTGTCTATGTGCTGTCTACTGCATCAATTGAGCAATGCAACCAGAAGTAACCGACTGACACAGGTGAATACATGTACTGTGGTTACAAGATGAGCTCACCTTCTCCTTGCTAATACTTATACAGAACAAACTAAATGAACAAAAAAAGAATTTACTTTGTTTTTTTTCAACGTCTAGGTGGTTAAAGTATATTAACCAATAGAGTCAGATCCGAACGACGTTCGGAGTGTAACGAAAAATCGATACGCCAGGCGATATATTTGATATAAGTTATAATTCTGAAAACATATCGATGTCGGTACCGACATCGTTGTGTTTTCACAATGACAACTTATATAAATTATTCAATATTCATAAACAAATATTTTCATTTGTCGAATTATTTGTCTTCGAAAATGGCTACTGAACGAGTGCGCATCATTCACACGCGTGGGATCAAACAGTGGGCCTCCTTTGCTCGGATTCCCACAGTGAAATAAGAACATTCAAACCGGTCGGTCGTTGACAATAAATATCACAGACTACACATCCAAATTGCACTGGATTGACTATTTATGAATCCCTTCATTATTCGACTCCTGGTTGTTTACTATTCGTTACATTAATCACGCAGAACTCATGAACGTGTCCCTGAGAGAGCAATTCTGTTGTACTGTACATCCGTGGTTATCAGTGACTTTCCTATAATCGGACAAAAGAATCATCTGTTTGTGAACTCAATGTGTAATGCGATAATATTATGCAGTGATGGTTGTGACAGACTGCGCCTATTTCACTGTGCTTTTGTGGATTTTTATTACCCATTCTATTCCATTTGAAGGGAAAGGACGTGTGTTAAATCAGCGTCAAAAAAGCATTAGACTGGCTGTTTGAGGTCCAGTATATCATTTGGAGACTGCCGTGACGAAATGTGGATGACAGGACGATTTCTAGTGATTGTCTTGTAGTATGTTGCCTTTGGAGTACGATTCACATATTCAGAATTTCAAAAGATAATCCTTCAATAGATAATAGAACTACCGAAGAATAAATAAATTAAACCATATTGAAGATTGATGTTTCCTGGTAAGCTCAAAGATATATGCTCATGCTGAACTCATATTAAGGCAAATATGGCATTTTCTCAATATTTATTTCCTCCTTCCTAGCACCAAAACGATTTTCAAAACGATGTCGACCAAGAAAACCGTGCATGCATTTGTTACAGTTAATCATCGGATCGGTTAGTGAACTAAAAAGGTTTTTGAAAAATGTGTCATCTCTTGAGGAACTCTACGGTGAAGTCGCCGGTGAAATACAAGAAGCAGATTTAGTGAGAGTTACCATGTGGTTGTATGGTTGACATATCGTCCCCATATCTCCTAGGCGTTTGAAAACTGGAAATATTGTACAAGTTACAAATATTTTGCTCCAAAGCATTTTTAGTCATTGATGCGACCTGCGGTCTGATGTCATCACGCTCATTATTCATGTCCCTATAGTATTCTACCATGAGAGTTCATTTTACTACGATAGCTCACTTAAAACAACTCAAGGAAACTAGAAGGTGTTGCATATTTACATATTCACATATCAGCCAACTTATTTCTTTTGCACTAATTTTATGAAAAATATTCTGAGATTGTGCCATTCACCATTTAAACGTACAAACCCAGGTGACCTAGTTTAGTCTCCGAAGGCGACTTCACAAAGTAGAGAGATAAGGCTGACCTTCTTGTATGTGTGCGTAGTATGATCGCATTTCACAAGTTACAAATTGCTTTATTAATCCCAAACGTTTGATCTCATATGCTGAGACAAGAACTTCCTCGCCTCAGAGAAGTCACGCAGGTTGTTCACCGCCTGGGTTATTGCTCATTGTGCATCCCCCTGTTACTGATTCATGCCCTTTAGTGTGCGTGCATAACCTTTGTTACTCCTTGTTCGATATAAAATAATCTGTACTAGAGTTCGCCCGTTCGTCGTCACATTAATTTGCGAGTACGTGTGCACGCAATTGTTAACAAGCATAGAAACGTTTACCCAGTAAATGAAGTTTGTTTCACACCTGTTCTGTGACTGAAAGGCCATTGTTGGTGTATTCCATCTGGGTTGGCCGCAAGATTAGGGTAGTGATATTGGGAAGGTTCAAGTCATGTTAAGTGCTTGGCACGGAATTAACTAACAGATTTTGTCTAGTTAAAAGTTTTAAAAAGAACGACATTAGATGAGCTGTCGACTTAATGGGTACTAGGGTTATGTAGTCATGATTGGAGACAGTTCTAGATCAGGACGGTTCCACTTAGTGCAATTTGATCATTTTTTAGATTCCCGTAAAATGTTTTGGTCCATGAGAGTTCATGAAACAAGGTTTCATTTTTTGGGACGTTCAATGAACCCACTATCCAGTCACAATGAACTTCTTGAAGTAATTCTTTCCGGTATTTTCAGTGCAATGCACATTGATGCAGACCACAAAATCATCCAGCGCATACTTCACATCACTGACGGAGTGGACTGCCTTAATCCATTGCTAGCACTGGAATTAAAGTTTTTTATGTTTCTACTGCTCTTGATCGTCATTCTGTGTGTCGGTATACATATGCTGTATACAATAACTGTAACAACAAAGACAACAACAACAACGACGACCACGACCACGACCATGACGACAACAGCAACAAAAGAGCGAACAGCATGTCAGTTTTCTCGACCCGTATGATGATGCGTACGCCAACTGACGCAACACCACTTGTGGCCATTTATTATTTTGCTAGATAATTGAACCATATATGTGAATGACTGAAGCGGGACTTCGAGATGAAACATCTAGTCTCCAGTTTGTTATTATGCAGTGATAGGAATATTTAACTATTAACACATCGTTTCGTTGCCATGAAATATGTACTATCACAGCAACAGTGATTTATAGGTGTATAAAGCTTATATTGTTTTCACTGAATTTAGCAATCACTGGTGAGTATTGCATGTTGTATTGCGGTTCACAACCATTTTCTCCCAAGACTATCTGTGGGCTTTAAGTTGAATTTGCATGGTGTAATACACGAAGATTATTTTGATTGGATGTGAATCTAAATATCGGTAACAGTTCAGCATACTGTCAGTGGCATCCGCGACGATGCGATTTGTCAGTGAACAAAAAGGAGACTACAGATATACGCACACGGCTGACTGTTCACTTAGGACTTGTAAATATGTGCGTGGAGGGTCACGAGACTGAACAAATTCGCCCCATCATTCCACCAGCGTTTCAGAATTGCAGAGGTGTGCTCATCTAGACATCCAATGTTTCGGCAGTTGCGAGGTAAATTTTCTTAGCAGCCTCGGTGAGATGAACGTTCTCTATGATCATGTTAATCAGATACTGTGACAAATTTGTTTGCAACGCTATTGTGACGCCAAAGTTAATTACATTATTATAGGGGTGTTCATTAAGTACAAAGCTAATGAAGCGTGAACTCCTTAGCTAGAAAGCACTGTACAGCTGCTCCGATTTGGTTGCGTTCCACCAACATGGCGAATCCATCGACCCAACTGGCGATCGCAACCATAGCCTCGTTGTGTTCACGGTAGTTAAATGAAAAGCCGGAGCACAGCATCTTTCCAATTACCTATCACTTCTATTTAACCCGATTGAGAAAGCATCACTCTCATTATAAGGGAATGTCTTAGGTCGTGAGTTGAGCAGAGGTGACTTGATTCAAACATGAATGCACTGATTATTCCTCAGCATTACTTTCACAAGAAAACTAGGAACCGTCCCAAGACATCGGTTAACATATCGTCAGAAGCCACTATTCTGCGACAACATGGGCCCAGTCGATACGCAGTCTAAGGTGAACTAGATGCCTAGAAGTCCTGCTGATATGTTTTAGGAGCAAACATTGACCCAGAAGTAGTCAAACGAACGAACGTTCATCTGAATTCACTCTGTTTTCTGATAAGCAGGATTCGAATGGTTCTCATTACGCATTGAAGGGTTGAAGGGTTGCGGCCACAAAGCTTTTGGAAGGTACTCAGCAACATATTTGAAAAGAGCCGCTCTAATCCCTACCACATGCGTAGTTTGCCTTTAGTCCTGACTTGGACATGACACAAATCATCCGGAAACATTTGCCGAAAGGTTGAATTGGAAAGTAATGATTTACAATGCAAAACATGAAACAGAGGTACTTCTGAATTTCATAATATTGACAGAACATAATTTTAAATCTCACAGTGTTTAAAAAAATGGATAGAATGCATATGGGGATGTGCAGTTTTTCTTTTACATTAAATATACGTTCTTATTTCAGTTTCAATGAAAATATATTGAGCTACCGACTAAGCTGTCGTTTGAAGTCCGCGAAAAAGTAATAGTGGCATATATGAAAGTTACAATAAACCCAGCGATCAAGGGTGATTAGTTGACTGACAAACCACATCAAATATATTTGTTCGTTTATTTGTTATTATGGAGACAAAATGGGCACACATTCACTCGTATGTTACCTTATCTAAGAATTATCTAAAGAGAAAATAATTTGTTTGACCAATGGAAAGTATGACTTCCGAACGAGTTTGATTTGCTGTGGCATCTGCACATTCAATTAATGGATCTAAGCAAATTCTGTCCGTAAACCATAACCCTTAATCTACCACCAGGTACCATAGCAATGACGACGTATACTTGCTTCACAGCACTTGCTATATCCCAGTAATGGGTGTACTGTGTACTGTGAGTTGAAATGTTTTCGTTTATGAAAGCCACTCTATGACTGTGTATTGATCTTATTTGACCATATCAAACAAACAGAAACAGAACGTACAAGCAAGTTTGAAAAATACGGTGTTCCCAATTTGGTTTTGGGCACGGTCACGCTGGACCAGCAATCCACGAATTTTTCCAATCGTTCTCTACCCGAGTAGTGTGACACTTCTGTTCGTTGTCTGGTTTCAGCCGGTTCGTTGGTGAGACCAATTGTGCCTGGCACCGAGAGATTGATGGGTACATCGCAGCTGGCCGGTTGAAGATGATTTGCAAATACGGCGGTCGATGTCCCATAGTCAATGGGCATCTGTCCATACATGTCCAACGCGATCGGTTTAGCGGTGAGCAAAGGAACCCGTAGGCGGCAACGATTTCCTCGAGCAAGAAAGATATCTTTAGTGGTCAAGGTCTAAAAGTCAAAAAGTAAACGAAATCCACATCAAGTGGCATTAAGAAAGTTACGTCGGTTCAGTTTGCGTTCAAACCCAACAGATCTACACTGGATGGTCTGCATACTCTAATTCAGTTTATTATTTAGTCGTTGAACAATTCAGACAAGTTTGTATGTTGTGTTGTTCTTGACTATTCGTCCACGTTTGACTATGTTTCGCGTGCATTCCTTCTTAGGAATCTTGCTTCTTTTGACACTGAGAAACAAATGCTCCCATGACTTTCTAACTATTCCTAACCCTGCATATTTAAATAAAAACTTCTAGTTAATAATTCCGTTGTGCTTCAAGGTGCTGTTCTATCTCTGTATCGCTTTTCTGGATTGCATTAATGACCTTTGTGTCCTAATCTCCACATACATTCAAAAGCATTCTGTCGTTTTCTGGCAGATGATTTCTCCTGCTTCGGAATTTATTTCCTTCACTAACCCCCCCCCCTGAATCCAACAGTTCTCAAAGAATCTGGTCTAAGTCTTATCACACACAGGTGCCTGATGTATCGGTTCCATTTTATCACTCTTCATCTCTCAGGAACTCTGCTACCCTTAAGTGTAGCCCTGTATCTTCAGTGATATTTGTCAAGTACCTGGGTGTCACCATCGACAGTAATCCCCGGTGGTCTATACACTTACAAATGTATGGGGAAAATGAGGTGGATCTCCTTTCAGCTACAGAAACTCAGGCAATTCGGAACCCCACATTCAGCTCCATTCTCTTTAGTTAACGAATGCATCTTTTCAAACCTGTAACTTCCTTGCAGTATTTCACAGGGCCTTTGAAACAAGACTTCAAAACTATTCGTAGTGATTAGGTGATACTTGATCCTGTATCACTGATTTCTGTTGATTCCTCAATCGCACAGCTTATTAATGGACAGATCGACTTTTGTACTGTTTGCCAATACGATTCTAGACGGTCGTCTTCACTTACTACTGTTTGGTTGACTCTCATATTGTTCTAATGAGTACACACGCCTCTCCATTTGTCATCAACCCTCTTGTATAAACATTTATAAAAGTTCCCTAGTACCATACTTGGCCGAAATTCCCATCACCAGGAAACCGGTTAGTTAGGGAATTACGTCAGAAGTTGTTGAATGAATTGAACTTTAGAGACATTCTTCACGATGAACGTCATACACATTGAAATAAAACTTATTCAGTGTGAAGACCAGTGTTGAACTGAAATGTAACCATACTAGCTCAAACAAGTTTACCAAATACGAATGAATAAGTAAAATAACGAGTCCAACTATAGTAGGGAGGCTTTCTTAATGAATTATTCTTTCTTGGAGGCACATATTCAAAGTTTTTGTTTCTGAAAACGCTTTTCACTAACTCTGCGTTCTGTGTAAATTTACGATTCTGTATTTCGTACTTTTGCCTGACAAGGCCAACAAAGTAATCGGATGCCTCAAAGTATCTAGTTCTGTTTAAATCCCAATTTCAGTTTGTTGTCTTACTTACATATATGCATACATGCGAACAACCTCGATTTTGTTCCTTTTGCACGGTATTTGTGATCCTCCACACAGAAAACATTCTCTTCTTCAAGGATTACCAACCGCAACGCATTCTGAGTGGCTTGAATGATATGTTAAAGGTTAGAGATTGTTCCAAGTACAGAACAGTGAGCAGAACCATGAAACTATAGATCGAGTGCGAGACATTGCATTTTCTCTTGTTTGCAACACAACGTTACATCTTACACAAAAGCTACAAAAGGTTATTATTATTGGAAGCGAACTCAGACGTGCTAGTGAACCCTTTGGCCACGGCCTTCATGCAATTACTTGCGACTTTGGTAGATCCACCGATGAGTAATGTGCTTGATGATCGCGGATAGAAATCACGGGCTAGCTTTGCCAGGTAGAGCGGCTAATACGACATAGGAACCAGGTTAAATGCGTATTTATTGTTATAATAGTTACATTTAGGACAGAGCGGTAACATTACACTGACTCATCAAACTGTGCTAAAATCACTGCTGTTTCTTGACGTTTTTCGCCAGAGAGAGAGAGGGTTGTTGAAAAACGTGATGACGATTGATCGAGCATATATTGATAGTTCATAAAATGCATTGATTTCAGCCTACAGGTAATTCTGAGCTTGGATTAAAAGGAAGCGTGTACACTCTTGGAAACCTTCCACATAGTGTTCCGCTCTTTATGTATTGGATTACGGTGATTAGTGGTCTGTGCCCTGTCATTAAATTCACGTAGAACCTGGTATTACTTTCGAGGTGATCACTTTGTACACCAGATCAGACTCTGCAGTTAAAATGAAGTATTTGTTTGAATTTTCGATGAGTGTAAACAATCGCAAGCAAACAAAGCCTGATCCAGACATTTGACATTTGTATTCCAGTCGTTCATGAACCAAATAGCTATTATTCCTTCATGGCGAATCATAATATGTGAATTTATCAATGTGTGTGCTAACTCTCATCTAAAGCGTTCTGTTAGGATGCTTTACGTTTGCCCTTTTGAATATAGTTAAACTGACACACTTCTGTAAAACCTGCTGCGGGGTGTCACAGATTCATTCACCACAGAGTTCGAAACTCTGGAAATCTGAAGAATTGAAACATGATAAACTCTGATACGATGGGTACACTCTTAGGTCAGGCCAAAGTAAAGTGTCGATAAAAGAATGAATGAGTCATAATTCGATACTTGAGATTTCTCCCATGCCTATGTAATCAACTATATGTAGTCAGAGCTATTTGTTTCTCGGGCGATAAACTTTGGTCTTTGAAGCAATACCAGTTTTAGTTTGCTGTATTAGAGCAGCGAATATTAGAAGTTAGTTGTCGCGAAAAGTGTTCAAATATCGTTCAGGAAGATATCACAGAGCCCATAATACTCGTACTTAACATTGAGCTCTTTCATTCTGAATATGATTCATTTTTCGATCGGTGGACAATGAACATCTCACCGGTTTTTCGATCTACTACTTCTATCTCAGCTGCCCCCATATCCCTTGTATACATCAGCCACACCAGATTTTTCTCTTCCATTCCGATGTCCTTCAGCAAACTTAAGGATCAAGCATACAAAACTGTGATCGAGTTTTAGACAAACAGGCATCAACCATCGTATCTTCTATGGTCAGAAAATAGCCGACTGTTTGAAACCTGCGAGTATCATACAAGTCCCAAGAAGAAAGCTGGGCAATTCCGACCACTCACCTGTGTTCCGCAGTGCTAAAGATTTTTCGAAAGGTTTATGTTTGACAACACTGGTCAGTCATGCCACAGAGAATTTGCTTATAGCAAACAATGTTCCATCGCCAACGCCCTAGCTAAGGAAATCAGGCCAACTTATCTGCCCTATACACATGATCTTCTTATACCCACTCGCCTATTGTCGCGTCTACATGCATGGATGTCACCTTGTCACTCGCCAAATGGAACACCTACTTTCCTTCTGTACTTCACAGTGGCAACCACAGCACTTTCTCCGCAATATCGCGGTATTTCTACCTGCCGAGATCACGAGCTAACTTTACAATATGGACTGCATCGTCAACAGTATTCGACAATTGTTTTACATTTTTTTACATTGGTGGCTGTGATCTTTTGAAGTTCCTCCGTAAGTACTCATCCACTTTTTTAAATTCCTCTTTTATTACTGGCTTTCCTTACTCATCTGCAGCTTCATTTAATGGTCTTGGAGTTAAGGATTATGTGATTCTCTGTCGTTTCGTGGAAGAAGTTCACGCATATGTGGTATTTCCTATTTATCATTATCTTCGACAGACATTCTTCCTCGTTCAAACAATTCTACAACAATATTCTATCTGAAGTCGTTCACTCATTATGCACAGATATTAAACAATTAATATCCAATTCCATAAACAGGTGCTATAATGAAGTTATCTACGCTCGGACCACCACATACCGCTGGTTTGTAATTCCATATCTTTCCCGATTTACGACACAAAGAGGGTCGGTCAGAGCAAAGTTTTACAAACGCCAAAGCAAATGATATCATCCATTTCCGGATTATCCTGGTAAGTTGCTCTCTTCAGTTCACGAGGCTCTAAATGAATTACATTTTTAGTGTGTGTGTGTGACCGCGTGAGACGAACAGTTACCTTGTGTGCATTGAGTTGAAAATCCATCCATTGGGGTGAATAAAGTAATTCATAACTTATGGCTTGACTTTATTTGATATATATGCATATATAAATCCGTCGAATTTACAAGCATTTTACATTTTACCTCTGATTTGATCTAGGGTACTGAGAAAGTGGGTGAGTTTGAAATTCATTTTATTCCTAAAATCAATTCTTCATTTCAAAATACCGTTTTACATATGTTGATCATTCTCGTGGTTATGCTTCTGATGCTTTACTAACCACGAAGTCAGGGTTTACGCAAGGCCATCTCAATGGTTGACTTTTTTCTAAATTTTAGTTCGTGGATTCAACTTGGGAGCCGTTGCGTATTTTTAAATGTCGTTTGCTCTTAATAGTGACAGCAGATTTTACAACAGATACCACGACAAAGTCAAACAGACCTATATTGTGTTGTTCAAAATTTATCCAAGTTTTCCGTAGAATATTTGCACAACACATAAAAGATCATATGGTTTTGACCACACTATGAAGTTCACTTGCTCATGCTGGTGGGCTGAAATGCTTCCGTGCTTGAGCATTATCATCGCTCGTTGTTGACGTTTCTCAAGAATGAATTGCAGACGTCGATCAACCGATGGCAGCATTGGACGCTCAGAATATTTATATGCAGGCTTGAAAAAGCTCCTTCATTGATTATGTCACTCGCATAGCTGGGCATAATTTTTCAGATTTACTGGTGCGCAAGTTGCCATGGATTTCCTTCAAATTCCCTACTATGGATTTTTCATTCTTGTTTCCAAAATTACAGAGAGAGAGACAACTTCTACACTTGTCTGTAACAAATACAGTGTGCTAAAATCGTTTCGATAACACAAGTGCTCCTTTCTAAATGGTTTGAACTTTCAAGGCACGCGTAATCGCGTGATGAATAGTGGAATAGTTGAGTTCCAACAAGACAAGTTAAGCAGCGGAACTACCAAATCAGTCATTTGGGTCCAAATGACTATATCACATCCCCACATGCAATACGTGGGTTAATAGGGACATGACCTAGCATCAAGTAGACCGATGGAACATTCAACCGTATTCATAAAGAGCAGAACTTTAGTTTATCAACCACGTTATATTAAGTTGAGATTTTCGAGATAAGAAGACAATTTATATCAAGTGATTAGCTTGTTGCGTTACTGTTGTCGGTGAAAGTACTCTACATCAGTTGCCATCATTTCATCAGATTAACCATTTTTGTTAAATAATTTCAAAGCTTTTTTAAGTCAGCGTAAACGCTTTCGGTTATAAAACCGCCACAGTATGTTTTCGCGCAAACTCCGCAATTTCCATAAATCTGCTTCCCCTTGTGACTCGGTATAAAATCTCATTTATTCAAAATGTTTTTACCAACTGCTTAGTGAGTTGGTGACTAAAATCAATGGTTTGTCCACTGACCCACCGAATGCAGATTATCGAGCATCGAAGACGATTACACATTGATTCATTTAGCTGGGAAAAATACCCAAGTATTTTCCCCTGCTTATTCATACAGTCATAATTGCCCATCCGGTACGAGATTCAGCTAAATTCATCTTTAGTTCATCCGTGCTGTTTCTGAGTAGTTGACTCTTGTTCGTTCGTGCAATTATCCCTTTGTAAAATGCTCGATTTTTATTTTTAATATGAAATCTTACTTGGAAATGTAGTACTTTAGAGACAAATTATTAATAATTTATCCCATTGATGCACCGCTTCGAGGCTATGCTGCGTGATGGTCTCCCGAGAAAGTGTACTGTTTCACGAAATTTTCACAAGAAACCAACTGTGCTGTTTCAATGCCTATTCTATAAAGAAAAGTTGAAGATACGCCTAAAAGTTTTCAAAAATCCCACACTACTTCACCTTGATAGTTGCTCATTCGAACACATGCGAATTGGGTCAGACACCCAAAAACAATAAGATTTATCCCCGTGCGCTCGCAAGAAACTTTAATTTACCTGAAAAATAGAATAAGTTCTGATCTTTAATCGGTGAATATACTTTACTGACATAAGGTATACATTGTATTGTTTTAGCCACCCAGGGATTTTCATAATTTAGTGATTTCCTTTCCATCTTTTTACTGATGAACATGGTGCAGCGGAAGAAACATAAGCTAATACGGGATGAATAACCAAAACTAACCAAACTTTAGAACCCAAGTTCCATGGTTTATACTTCAATTGAAAAAGACAAAATAATTAATCAGCTAATTACTATGCAAGCGTAATGTGGAAAAGATGGGTGGGATTGAACATCGGCCAAATTAGTAAAGATCGTCAAATCACTTGACTATAGCATGGTCATTGAAAATCACTATATCAACTGCTTATTTCACAACTGCATCTTTGACTACAAACGTGGAGAATTTACGGATGATTTTGCCCAAAACGCGGACACCCATCTGAAGAAATCTGCAGCAATTTTAAGATCACATTCATGCGCACAGTAGACGCGATCGTGGCAAGCAGAACCTTTGCAATCAATCATCACAATATGAGTGTGTATCTTGAATAAACCAAAAATAGCACAGAACGCTCCTTGAGGTTATCGGGCGTGTTGTAATAGGTGACGTGTAAGCAATCATCAAAACGGACTGTGACCAAAAACAGTTGAGATATTTGCGAACATTTATGATTTTAAAAGTGCACACCTTTAGGATGCTCACTAATTATACCATCAGTCGATTGCAATTATCCCAATATCTGTCTGACGGTTCGGAATACTTGGTCCATTATGAATGACCAAAGATTCCTGGTTTATACAAAAAATCTAAATATTCTTCCCAAGTGTGCATACATTTTTCAGCGTCGTCTGTATTTGTCCAGGAGAATTGAAGTATTAGCCAATGGTGGAAGTTGTGGATGAACCCTCTACCAATCAATCTATTGTGGTGTGCCCAATTTCGACCAACACGAACTGACTGCGACTCCAGCCCCATTCACAAAAGCTCCATTCGGATCTGCGGAACAATTCGTTGTTTGATCTCATTCCGAAATCGCAGAAAAATAGTCCTACAGTTAAGTATTTAACAAGTTTCTCTGAAGGAGGTAGATTGCGCAATGTATCTCTTTGTTTTGCCCTCAGTTTACCGATGTTCAGTGGATAAGTCGAAGTTTCTACCTATGCCTGCTTAAACCTACACCATTTTGTGTTAAATGCAGTTACATTTATGATTGACCCTACAGAATTCATTTCATCTTCATACCCGCAGTTATCCACCTTGTGTTCCTTTCCCAATCGAGTAATGTAACTCCTGTTTCAATAGTGGCCGCCTGCACAACACATTACACTAGGCAAATGCTCCCAAAAAGGAAGGTGACCACTAACCATACTTTCTACAATTTGTTGAAATCACTGAACAAAACCATTTGGATCGAGATTGGAAGTCTGAAGGGCTCCCTTACAAAAACTCTCCAGGGAACCACAACACTTTTCAACAATTCCACAGAACACATTGAAAACAACAATGTGGTGAATAAAGCCAATTTTCAGTTATCCGTAAATATGCCATGACTTAATATGACTACCAAAAATAACAAAGGAGGATGAGATAATGCCATGATAATTTGGCAATGTATCTGCCAGCAGCTGCTCTTTGTCGTGAATGCTCTTTAACGACTATTGTTCTTGCCTTCTAAGTTTGACTTGCGAACTGAATGTTCTTCGACAGTCCATCTCATTTATTTTCCTTTTTTACACCCATAGCACCCGCATCCATTTCAATTATTCTTTGTTAAAAAGACCAAGCTATTGATGTTTAATTCAAATAATTCTATTCCTTTCAGTGATTTCACGTAATTTCACAGATCAGCAAATGGATTGTTCGTATAGTTTCTCATATTATATTCACTTCCCCATTGCTCTTCTTGTGGGTAATCTTTGATATGGTTTGCAGGGAATTTGCCAATCCTTATTAGTTACCGGTTCGCCACNGTTCGCCACGAAATCACTGAGCATCGGTGACAAGTGTGCACGTTATCCTCAAGCCTTCCCGCATCTGATTGGACCGCCTCACTTCTCACCAAGGTTGGAGGACAATCTCAATAAACATTTCACCTTCAACTGTTATTAATTCCAGTGAAAATGGATAAAAAAACTATACACATCCGGATTCCCCCCGGCAACGGTTGAATACCTTCAGATGTGTGTTTGCGCCAAATTGCCCAGCCGTTAGTTGCGTGTTGAAGTTTGCCCAGGGNTACATTTTTTCACTAACAATAAGGTTTTTAAAAATAGACATCGCATGATGTTTTCAGATCCCGTGCACCCTATACTAAAAAACGCCTATACTAAAAACGCTGCAACATCAAATATATTATTGCAGTTCCGAAATCTCACATATCCTCCGCTGTTCTGTGTATCGTCGGCTTTTCATCTTGAACTAAGTGTACCTTTTGTGGGTGGTTCACAACACTGATCCAACTCTGGATTTTTAATCAATTTGTTCTGCTCAACACGTAGGTGGTTCCTGAATAAATAAGTAAATAAATAAATATATACATATGGTTGAATAAAACAGTCTCTTGTTTCCACTTACCTGATAAAATATTTGTTGTTCGTGTAAATATTCCAAACCTCTGGCGATATCCACAAGAAAAGAGATACAGCTGGCCAAAGTGATCACAGCCCCATGATCGGATGGGGCACAATTGTTCTCGCCGCAAGCAATCATAGTTTGCATGGCCTGAAAAAAAACAGGAAAACATATGTTAGCAATCCAAATGCTGAGTAGTGAAACATGCAAATTTTATTTTGCTCGCTACCGCCGAATAACATAAGTCAATGATTGATTGATTTTTTCTTGGTCCACTGAGCCCCCTCCCCTCGTGCGGATCACGAACCCAGTTGCTGATAGACGAATTGGCCCACTCATAGCACTAGCTCTACAGTTCTGTCATGATCAATGATAATCAATCGATTACAATTTGAACTGGATGACTCATTGCGCATGCGATCTGGGTGGAAAACATGCGTCCTCATAATTTATCTACTACCATTCATCGGTTTGTTTGTTCTCCAGAGAATAGAATTTATTACTCACTTCGGTTAAAATGTTCACGTTTTCGCAATTCTGATATAAAAGATGGAAAATTCGGCTGTGGATCATATGGGTGAATATAACCTCACATGAAACGAAATAATTAAAATATGAATCGCGCCAAATTATCTCTAATCAGCAAGCATTTTGAGCACACTCAGTTTACCATCACCAAGGCAAGCACCCAAGCCAATCGTGAAATCCCCATAGTATTCCCACTGTAGAGCGGATATCGTCCGGTTTCCACAAACTTGGTCGTCCTGTGGGGGTGTCATCACCATTTGTAGGGACTTTAGGGAAATTATAAGCATAGACCAAAAAGACAAGTTACCAGCTATCATCTCCCTTTAGAGGTTTTTTTCCTGGAACACCTTTTACCAATGGTCGTTAAAATGATAAATGATACTCCAAGCACTTCATGCTATAGTTTAAACGTTTTCATTTCTTATACCTAGCTAAATGTTCTCTTTTGCTTTCCATTCTGTAATCAAAATGGAATCACGAGTGTGAATATAGAGCGTGCACTAACATGAATATTGAACATTTCGATATCAATCTATAGACCTAACTACAGATCCCTTCGTTGAAACCAGCACAGTTGCAAACGATCGGCCAAATACAATGGTCCAGTGAAAAATCTCACAAACCTGGTCCAAAATTGTGGCCAAACTTCCTCCGGATATCCACTGCGACACGATTGTTGGCCGTCGATTGATGAATACAACACCGTACGTTGGTATAATAACAGGATGGATTAGTTTCATATTCCGTTGGACAGTGGATCTGAGCAACTGCTCACGCTGCTCACAAATAGCCCTATCTCGTCTTCTGCGCATCCAACTTCTAAACGATTGAAATCCGGTACAACTAAGTGGTTCATCAAATACACTTAGTTGATGCACAGTTCTGCCAAACCGCGCCCGTTGCGGTTCAATTGTTTGTAGGAATACAGACCACTGGTCGGCACGTGGGCTGTGCCCTTGATGAGGTTCTCTATCATCTGCTTGTTGTTCTTTATGCGGGCTGGGGCCGGGTGAGGATGCCACCGTGGTTTGCGAGAGATCCATTCCTGTGACCACATGTTTTGCCCACTGCACAGAAAGAGGGGCAATATTTGGTACAGCAAGACTCGGTTGCCTTCGGTCCAATGCTTTCCGCATACGTCCAACGTAGGTCGGTCCCAGGTAATCTGGATTCGTGTTAGTTGCCATGGGAATCAAAATCAAAAAGCAAATGCTAGTCAATTATTCTCATCTCTGCACAACAGTAAATTTGCAAACATAAAATGGGCTTCCTTGCAATAAACTGACCGAAGGAATAAAATCAAATCTAGCCATATGTGAGACTATCCGTGTAGCGTCTTTAAACTCTCGGTTGCGTTGTCTGTAAAAATGACAGAGGGATATGCAGGTTGCACAGTCGTCTGTTCCAAACTCTGGTTACGATTGAAAGCTACGGGGAACATTATTGTGAATGTTGTCTCTCGACCAAGCCTGTCTCCACTGCCAACCGGGTTAAGCCTTCAAGGTGCAACTGGACAAAATATTCAGTTACACGGATTGACACAAACTGGCCGTTGTATCTCTGATTTACTAAGAAATATATATGCACATAGACCCATCTAAACTACATAAAATAAATTGTTGACTAAGTTTATCCTAAAGCCTATGCAAAGATGACTGGTCTGATTTTCCGAATATGGTGATGAAAAAAATATACGAGAATTATTTTTCGATGATCTTTATTCCGGAATTTTAATATTCTTTACTCTTTGCAATGAACCCTAATAAGTGCATTAGTATTCAATTTCAGGCGAGAAATTGTTTTCAATAACTCATATTCATGCCGTTACAGTTTATATAGTGCGCACATTGAGATATTCCAGTTTTAAGTCCCCATGTAAACAATCCACGAAAGTGACAGTGTATGAACGGAATATATCACAGCGCCAGTATTTCGTGGATTATTTACATGCGGACTTAAAACTAGAGTACGTCACACAAGGGCATAAAATTTACAATGAAGGTAGAAGCAAATGATCAAATACCGTTTCTAGATGTACTCGTCATTAAAAGACGTGATGGACTTATACAACGCCGTGTAAGAAAACTTGGACTGGCCAATACACAAACTTCTACAGATATGTCCCGATAAAGATGAAGAGGAAAGTGATAAAATGTTTGGTATCTAGAGCTCGGAGAATCTGCTCACAATAAGTTTTGGAAGATGAACTCAAATTTATCTCCAACGTGCTCAGAAGCAATGGCTAGCCCGACTGCTTCATTCAACGAAATATGATGGAACAGGTACCAAAAGTACACACTGATATGGTGGAAAAGAAGGACCTGTTCATTAGTGTTATGTTTTGCCCGCGTATATCCGTTGCCTACTATTAGGTCGCACAACACTATATCGCAGGAGAACACCACAAGTTCAAAGAACACTAGATGTAGCACAGTAACAATAGTAGCACAGCGGAACAGCGGACTAACACTAAGTCCGTGAGCGGTGATAGTTCCAGGAGCGCTACCTGGGTGAAACACAGAATGCACGGTCGGCTATCGATCTCTCAGGCCTCCCAAACACGCGAAAGAGAAGACACGGCTTCAGCAGCACGGGATTTTAATGGCGTTGAGCACAAATCACAAGTCACGAGTCGTGCGTCACAAATCAATTAACAAGTTCATTCTGCTGTTTATATATGATTGAAAATAACATTGATCAATGCAGGAAAAACGATGTACCAATGAAATGCACGGTGAGCAATGTTCAAACGGCCATAGGCTGCGGACCAGATGAACGACGCAATATTATTGATTTATCTCCACGAAATTAGCATCGATTCGAGATGACCCAACTTAGGTCGAATGTTATAAAATTGTTTTATTTTGCTCACTGAATTAGCAAGTGTGCGGCCGGGCTTATCGTGGGACGAGTGGTGTTGATCTTCGTCCCAACAATTAGTCTTCCTTTTAGAGGTGAAGTTTCCTCTGAAACCCTCATAAGACGACCACATGGAGCGGTAAAAGCCACATTCAACGCGGCGCACCTACGTTACTCTTTCAAAAGTTCACCACTGATAACCATACGGAATAAAAGTAAACTACCGATGCTGACCGCTTCAATGATTGTTTATTCGTTCAGATGCGTTTGTGACGCACTCTACGTCGGTTGTACGTGCCGTATTAAAGAACACCATCCCCGCTGGCTGAGTCGAGGTGGTTCCGGATCTATCACCAGTGCGATTCTCGCTCACTTTGTAAACACTGACCATCGTGTTGACCCAATTGAAGCATTCGGCATTATTTATCAGGTTCACCGAACCGGGCCAAATACGTTAGAATGCGTACGTTGATCATAGCCGAGGCCATCTGTATTTAACCCCCGAACTATGGGCCCAGAAACGTCTTATCCAAGCAC